CATGCAAAAACATCATGAGAGAGACACACACACACACACACACACACACACACACACACACACACACAGAGAGAGAGAGAGAGAGAGAGAGAGAGAGAGAGAGAGAGAGAGAGTGATTTAGCCTAGTCAATCAATACGCTTACAAGAATTAAAGAAGCCAGAGGATTTTTAACCTTTTTATTTATAAAATTAAAAGACTCAATTAGATTCCTTGGTAATTATCTATTGTCTTCTGTGCCAAAGAACTTATATATAATTGCTTGCCTAAATTATTGAAGATTCTGGTGAAAGTTTTATTGCAATATAAATCTGACTACAAAAGAGCCATTGGGCAGGAATTAATGTTTCGAAGATTTCTTCAAGGAGCAGTTAGGATCATATAACTAAAACTGTAACTTTTTCCAAAGAAAACAAAAACATAAAATTGAGCCTGGTGGTACATTCCTGTAATCCGAGCACTTGGAAAGTAGAGATAGAAGGATCAAGGCCAGCTTTGGCTACAGAGAGAGGTTCAGGCCAGCTTGGGTTACATGAGATCTTGTCAGCAAGAGAAAAATAAGCAACAAAAATGTAAAATGCACTGAAAAATGTCAAAGAGCAAAAAAGAAGGGAAAAGACAAAGGAAGGAGAAACCAAAGGCTGAAATACAAAGTAGAATGAAAACAAATTCCAGTGTAGATTACCTATATTTACCCATATTTAAATTCCTACAAAAAATTAACATGCAAACCTTTAAAAAAATAAGCTCAGCGGTAGAGTGCTTGCAAAACTCAGCTGGACACTGTGATATGTGCCTGCAGTTCCAGTTACTTAGAACGCTGAGGTAACAGGATCAGTTTAGCCCAGGAGTTTGGAGATAGCCTGGGCAAAAATGGTTAGACCCTGTCTTAAAAATCCAGAAAAAATCACACCCCCCGTTTCACTTCACTAATAAAGCACTGACTACATGAGTCCAAGTTGCTCTCAATTTAGATTACACACTGCACTCATACAATGTCTCTTAAGGCTTTCTAAATTGGCCTGATTACCAAATCTCGGTTTCAGAGATAGTTACCATGGGAACATTGACAGTGCACAGACAGAAGGTATTGACTGAATAGCACACAAATAAAATATACCTAGCCTGAGACACTGACAAAATAATATTTTTAAAAACTGTAGTTTATCCTCAGATTAACAAACTGTCTTTAAAATATCAAATAAATGTATCACTGAAGCAACTGCATGAAGATGAGGTTTAGAAGTGTCACTATAAAGACCATAAATATTCCACAATTCAGTGACACCACACATGTAAAATTTGTATTTCTAATTTAAGGACGAACTTGACACATATAAAAACTTTACAGTGACAAACATGAATTTGAGATGAACATGGTGAACACAATGTTATAAAACAATATTGTCAGAATTATTTCTTCATTTCCAAGCATCTGTTAAAGACAAACAAAGCAGCCAAGCCCGTTGATAAATATCAGCTAGAAGATCTTGTTCTTTTCTACTAATATTTATTCTCTGCTTTTTTATTCATCTTCTCCCTTCTGTCCAATTAATCAAACGTTATTCAGTTACTTACATCCGCTCATACTCTTTATCTACATACAGCAGGTTAAAGGGCCCACTCTGTTCCTTCACAAACTCCTCTAAAGGAGTCAACAGGCTCTCCAGTTCCTTCTGCTGCAGCAGGATATAATCCAATTCTTGTTCCAACCTGAATAAAACAAGTCAGGAGAAGGGCTGATGAAAGTAATTTTGAGCAACAAAGTAAATGTCAGCAAACTACAAGAGAAAGTAAACTGAACAAAAAGATCTTCAATCTTTCAACCAAAGAAGTCTAAGGTGCTACCTGTTCTGATCCAGTTTCACTTTTTCCACTTCATTATGTAAAAGAGTAATCTTTAAAGAGAAATAAGAACAAAATGATGTAGATATTTAAAATCATCCAATAAAGATTCTCAAACACACCTCAAATATAAAATACTTCCTAGTTCAGAGAATATATTACCAAGGAAAATGTTTTTAATGTAATGCTTTACTCATCATACTGAAATAGAAAACCAATCTCAAAATCAAAGTCTGTTCTCTTGTGTTTATCTGAAAATACTTGTGCAATTCTGGAAAACTAATGAGCATATCTTCTTACCTCCTCACCGCTTTCAATCAGTGTACGGTTCCAAACACCGACTTGGTTGGGCTGGTAGAGAAAGTGCTTTTCTTGATCTTGTAGCTGAAAGTTCCACTTGTTCATCATTCCATCCAGATGACCATAGGTCATCACAGGTGTTACTATGGAACTAGAACGCAAAAGAACAAAGTATGATCATATATTTTGAAGTATAATTGTATTTTTTAAACAACACAGAAAGACTAAGGGGGAAAAGCCTGTGTGGAGACTTTAATATCTGCATCCCAACAAAATCATAATAGGTAAGGATGATTTTAAAACGTTCATTTAGGGGGCTGGAGAGATAGCTCAGTGGTTAAGAGCACTCACTGCTCCTGCAGAGGGCCCAGGTTCGGTTCTCAGCACCTACATGGCAGCTAACAACCATCAGTAACTCCAGTTCCAGAGGATCTGACGTCCTCTTCCAACCTCCATGGACACTGCATGACACTAGTGCACCTACATACATGCAGACAATATACTCATGAACACAAAATAAAAATAACAAAGAAAAACCTTTAAAAATAAATAAAATATCCATTTAAATTTTCTCAAAATTATTCTGAAGGAATACAGCAAATTAATACTATTTTTATGATTTCAAATAATGTACTATGTTACATTTGCATCATTATATTTCTAGAACAGATTGGATTTTATGCAACCTATTCCTTTGAATTAATATCAATAAAAACTGGGAAGAGTACTTAAGAAGTCCACTAAATCAATGTAAAAACACTGAGTCTATGCCACAGTCTTCTTTCTTCCCCGGTGTCAACATAGCATGATGGAGGCTCCTTTCTGGGTGGACATAGCCTAGCAAATAGGATTCTCTGTCCTCAAACTCCCAAAGCCATCCATTCCATTTTGAATAGTACACAAAAAATAGGCAACCCTTAGCCATGAGGAACCATAAGCAATTCCAATTCCCCTGCCAGATGGTATAATCGAGGCTGAGCAAACAGCTGATCTTTGATTCCCCAACCAGGGCAGTCAGACTCATACTCTGACTCTCCTGCTAGCAGGGGCAATATCGGTAAGGCTCATTTGTAGAGTAACTACTAATTCTCTGCCTGTCAGAAGCAGGTAGTGGGTGTGTCCAATGGCAGGCAGAACCAAAATCCGCACTTCAAAGCAACAAGACTTAATGAGAGAGATTAAGGCAGGATTAATCATTAGACTTCATCATTTGCTCTGGCATCCATGGGACCCAGTTAAATATACCTATTATCATGAAGACTGAACAAGGTAACGAAAGTTTGAGTTAGTAAGGACTCCCATTTCTACCACTCTGGGGATCAACAAGACTAATGAGGCTCAACAGTGGGAGCCTAATCTCCACACTGACTGGCAAAATCAAGATTGAAGGAGGTATATCAAAGAAGGGTTAATTAGTTCTCTATCCTTTTTCTTCCATGAACCTTATGCCAGGCAGAGTCCAGTAGAGAGCTAAGGCTGCATTTCAATACAGGGTCAGTGAGCTTGAATGAGGTGATATGAGGCAGAATAACTGACAGCCTGTTTGCTCTCTCTTCTTCCATCACGGAGTACAACAATATTGTTGACCCCTGTATCAACTAAATAGTGAATTAGTCCATCACTTGCCCTTAATCTGGAAGTCCATGGCCTATCTGAGAGCTGAGTTTACATCCCCACTAAAAAGCAGTGAAAGTGGAGTGATACAGTGTCCCACTTTCATGGAGAATGAGTCAGCAGAGCTAAATTGATGAACTTCCATACCACCCATGTGCATTGAGGCAGAATGAGTCAGTGCTCCATTTTTGCTGGGGTTGTGGGGGCAAGATCCAGGGGGAAGATAACCATAAAAACACACCCATCCTTTGCACTACATTTCAACAAAGAGACTATCTAATGAAAAGAAAGACGATATAAATAGGATCCAAACTCTCCTAACATAATAGATAAATGTCCAGGACACATTAAAAATTATCTACACTGAGAACTAGGAAAATCACCACTTGAAAGAGAAAAGGCTATGAACACGGATAACAGAATTAAGAGGTATCAGTTGTTGAAATTATCTGAAAGGAATTTTAAAGCACCCATTAAAAATGTTTGAAGAGAGATATTTTAATTCTCTTGAAATAAATAAAAATAGAAAATCTCAGCAAATAGAAATAGAAGTTATAAAAAACAAATGGAAATATACAACTGAAACATAAAATAACTGAAGTAACAAGCTCCCATGAAGGGTTTGAAATGAAATTGTATCTGACAGAGAACAAAACTGGTAAATTTAGCGACAAGTAATTACAGTGTACGGAACAACAAAGAGAAAATAGAGACAAATGGAAAAAAGGCTCAAGGACATAGGAAGACAATAATAAGAAAGGGTATGGAATTAATGCAAGAAGAATTCCAGGAAGAGAAGAAAGAGAGAAAAGAGAATGAGCCTGAAAAATTATCCAGAAAGGCTGAAAACTCCCCAAATTTGGCAGAAGATATAAACCTGTAGATTCAAGAAGTTAAACAAACCTAAACAGAATAGCTCACAAAATCCATGGTAAGACACATTGTAACTAAACTTCTGAAAAGTAAAGACAATTTTAAGAATCTTAAAAGCAACTAAACAAAAAACTTGACTTGAAAGGGAGCATCAATATGAATGATCGCTGATTTCTCATCTGAAGCCCAGGAGGGTACAAGGAAGTAGCATATTTTCTAAGCACTGAAATAAGAAGGAAAAAATGTGTCCATAAAGACTACTTTATCTGCTGAAAATGCCCTTTGGCGATAAAGAGGAAATAAAACTATCTCATACAAAGTTATAAAAAAGTGCCGCTAACGAATCTATCCTTAACGTTAGCTGACCAGAAAGGAAATGAAAACAAAAGACTTCTAAGACTTGTAATATCCCATCAAGATGGCTGAAAAGAAGGGCAAAATATTATTTCGCCTTCCATGTGTTTCTTAGACCTATTTGATGGTTGAAGGAAAAACTGCAACCTTCTGTGACGTTCTGTTCAATGTACATAGAAGAAATACTTGAGACAATAATATTTAAAAGGTAAGGATGGGAGAGATAACTGAAAAAGGTTTCTACATTTGACCAGTGGTGAAATGTCAGTGTGAGTAGATTGTTATGTTATATATGTATACCTCAATATATATAGGAATCAGCAAAAACTTTATTCAAAGAAATATATTGCAAAACATCATAGATAGAACAAGAGAAACCCATGAAGTTTTCCCACAACCCATGAGAAGAATAAAAACAAAAGGAAACAGAAGAACACAGATCAAAAGTAAAAATCAAATTATAAAACAGTAGATTTAAGCCCTAACAATCAAAGATTGCTTTAAATACAAATGTGCAATTAAGACAGTCATTGAGAAATGATTAATAAAGTGATCCAACAATATGTGGTCCACAAGAAACTCACTCCAATGATAAGACTTTTGATAGTTTGAAAGTAAAAGAATGGGAAAATTATAAAATCAGTTTTTTAAAAAGAAACAGCTATAGTCCTATCAGGCAAAGTAGATTATAGAACAAAGGAAATTACCATACAAAGTCAGTGACAGGACATTGCATAATGGTAAGGGAATCAAAGTACAAGGAAGACTGTCGATCTAAATGTATATGTAACAAAACGATAAAGTTTCAAAGTGCATGCAGTAAAAACTGATACAGCATGTAGCATGTAGCATGTAGCCTGAAAACAGGAAATGGGGAAAACATGACTAGGCAGAAGGGGAGATGGGAAAGGGGGAGGGAACTGAGGGTTCAAGTAAAAGTAAATTATGATGATATATGTATGAAAATGTCATTGTGAAACCCATTTCCTGGTGTGATAGTCAGAAATCTAATAAAAAAAATATAAAGGGCATAGGAGTATTCTAAAAAGAAAAACTGACAAAAGCTCAAAGAAAAATAAGAAAAATCCAAGTTAAGACTAGGATCTTCAAAATCTGAAGAAAGTACTAGACTGAAAAGTGGCAAGACTCCAAAATCTAAAAATACAATGAACAAGATCTAACCAACACATATAGAACAGTCCACCCAACAACAACAAAAAACAAATTTTTTAGGTTTCCGTGGAATATCATTTAAGACCAACCATTTCATCATACATAAGATAAATCTGAAGAAATAAAAAATAAGTGAACTCATATGGAGCACGTTCATTGACTATAACAGCGTCAACCCCAAAATTAATTCAGAAAGGAGAAAAATTTCCAAACACTTAGAAATTAAGCAATCTACTTGCAAATATCTTATGGTTCAAAATGAAATCACAACATAATGAAAGATGTGGGATACAGGAAAAGCAGTGCAGAGAGTGATATTTATAGCACTAAAGGATTATGTTTTAAAAAAGCCTCAAATCAATAGTCCACCATCATATTTCCAGAAACTAGAAAAAAAACCAATATAACCAGAAGGAAAGAAATAACAGAGTAGGTATCAATGAATCTGAAAATGGTAAAGTTTTAAAGAGCAATCAGTGAAATAAAAGCTGGTTCTTTATAAAATATTAATAAAATTCATAAAAGGAAGACACAAGTCCCAAATATTAGAAAAAATAGGAATATCTTGACAATATTAAAATGACAATAATGGAATATTACAAACAACTTTATGTTCATAAGTTTGACAACTCGCAAAAATGAATCTGTTCCTTCAAAATCACACACTGCTGAAATTAAACATGAATTACACAGTATAGGGGGTGGGGCTCATGACACCCCCCCCCAGTTACTATTGACAGTTGATGGTTTCTCAGGGAGAGGCAATTTTCTTTAAGGGCATGGCTCCTGGTAGATCCATTATGTTCCACTGAATGTCTACATATCCGTGACTTTACGGGCAGCACAAAATGGACTTGATGGGTTACTTTTTTAAAAAAAGAGGATATGAATTTTGAAGGGGATAGGGAGGCCAAGGACAGATCTAGGAGGAGTTAGGGGACAGGAGTGGTGAGTGAACATGATAAAAATATGTATTCAACACATGTGTGTATGTGTGTGTGTAAAACGATGAACAAAACAGTCGGATTCATTCTAGATCCATTAAATAAGCTAATTTTGCAAAAGATTTATCTTGACCAAGAAATTTTCATTGAAAACACATGCACAATATTTTACCATGACCAAGCAGAATTTCTTTCACATATGCTGGCTGAATACCTGAAAATCATGCAATATAATCTGCCGTGTCAATGATATAAAATTAAAAGTTTGTAGCAATAAAGCAAAAACTCAACAGAATTATACCTAGTTCATATTTAATGAAACAGCAAATGCACCAGGCACAGGGGTTTATAACTACAGTCCGAGTTACTCAGGAGGCTGAGGCAGAAAGATCTCTAGAGCTGAGGAATTCAACACCTTCCTTAACATCATAGCTTGACCCCAGATTAGGAAAAAAGGGAGATACAAAAGCAATTCAGTGGAGGAAGAAGTCAGCCTTTCGAGAAATGATTGTTGGAAAAGATGAATGCTTACAGGGCAAACAATTATGATCTAAATGTCACATACATAAATTAACTCAAAACATGTCATAAGCCTAAATATGAAACATATTAAAAAACATCAGAGAAAATCTTTGGGAGCTAGAACTAGACAAAGCCTTCCCTTATAATTGACACTAAAACCACAGTCATTTAAGGAAAAATTGATGAACTATTGCTCATTAATTAAGGCTTAAGTCATCAAAAAGACTGTTAAGAGAATGAAAAGATAAGTTGCAGAGCTAGAGAATTTATTCACAAACCATATCTCAGACAATTGGCTGATATCTAGAACACATAACAAATTCTCAAAGCTTAACAGTATAATAAAAACAAATAAGCAAAGGAGAATATAAATAAAAGATGTAAACAGAATAATGAAGGTTAAACACACACACACACAAAACAAGATATTCACATCGTTAGTTATTAAAATTCAAACCACAGTAAGATTACTTCATATCTATCAGAATGGTAAGAGAAAAGAGTTGTACCACCACAAACTGGCAAGAATATGGGCAGTCTGGATCACTCATATACTGCTGATAGGTACAGAGAACGGCATAGCCATTCTGGAAAAGTGTGTGACCATGAAAAATAATAAATACACAAATATTACACTGACAAGCAACTACATGCCCAGGCATCTATCCTAGAAATATGGGACTTGTGTTCACAAAGATGCATGTACACAAATATTCGTACCAGCTTTATACATAATAGCCGAAAGAATGCAAACAACTTAGATGCCTACAAATACATGAATAATTATACAAATCGTGATGTACTAAATACTATGGAATACTACTCAGAAATAAAAAAAAACTATTGGGTGGATCACAAGGAATTATGCTGAATGAAAATAAAAAGCCAATCCGCAAAGTACCCGTATGTATGACTTCATTTCTATAGCATTCTTGAAATACTGTGATTAAAGAAATGAAGAGATAAATCATTTGCCATGGTTAGGGAAAGAAAGGGAAGAGTATAAGTGTGGTTATAAAACAGCAACAGGAGGAATCCTTGGGAATGACGGAACTATTCTGTAGCTTTAAAAAATTATTTAAAGGGGTCTGGATGTGAGTGGGAAATATTATATGAAATTTTAAAAGCTCAATAAAATGTTTTAATTCTTTTAAAAAGATTTTTTGTGTGTATGTGTGTATCTGTACGAGAGTATGCAAATGTGTGTGTGGGGGGGTGCTCACAGAGACCAGAAGAGAGTGTCAGATGCCCTGGGCCTGGAATCACAAGCAGTTGTGTGCTACCTAACATGGATGATGTGATCTGAACTCTGCTCCTGTGAAAGAGCAGCAAGTACTCTTAAGTGCTGAGTCATCTCTCCAGCTCCCTATTCTATATCTTGACTGCATCAATGGCAATGTTTCAGCTGTGGTACTACACTATAGTAATACAAGATATTGTCACTGAGGGAACAATACAAAGGACACACAGGGTACTGTATATCATATGTAGGAATAGAAGCTCTCTACGTTTGAGTGCTTGAATTTTTATTCTGCCACAACCACTATAAAATCCGTGACCATTAAAGGATTTTCTAATCTCTATGTGTTCCAGTCCTGTATAAAATAAGAGGAAAAATATTGTCTGTCTCACAGGATAATTGTGAATATTAAATAACATGACATTTCTGAAGCACTATCATCTTCCTAAACATAGAGTAATTGCACAATAAATGATAGCTATTCATAGGACTAGCAATAACTATATTATAATAATTTTCAGAAGGCTGTTAATTGACCAACTTTCTGACCTGCCTATAATCTTTTCCTAACTGTTCCCTCAACTGACTTATCTAGCTTTCAAATATTATACTAAAGCTACACATGCAAACTATACCTTTTATGTGATAAAACGAAATACACATTCTCAAATAAACAGGCTTACTTAACAGTCACAGTAGATGGTAGAGAAGAAACACTGATCAGTTCAGTGTTGTTAGTCCAAGGTGATACCAGTGGTCTGTCGTACAGGTTAAAGCCACTGGTAATTGTGGTAGTAGTATTGGTGGTAACTGTGGTAGTGGTAGTCGTTGAAGTTGTAGCTGGAAAATAAAATACATAATGTTAACAAGAAATGAGATACTTGTTTCAGTTAAGCCTCAGACGAGACAAAAAATGGAGAGTCACTTGTTAAGATGTGAATTTAAAATCAAATTTGAACTGAACACCATTGTAATATGAACGATATACTGCAGACCGGGTATCTGGATTAACCTTCCTGCTGAAAATGAAAATCTTGGAAAGATTCATTAAATATAAAACATAACTTAACCAGTTCTATAACCATTAAGGGAATTCAATCAATTCTCAAATCTCTTCCCATAAATATTTAAAACTCCAGACCCAGATGGCCTCACTGGTAAGTCCCACTAAACTTTCAAGGAAGGAATAATTGCAATTTACACACAAAATCTCTGTACATCTTTTGCATAATAACATGACTGTGTTTGTGAAATTAAAATCAATGTGTTGGCATACTCTAAATTTTAATGTATACTGTGAAAGTGCTCTACCAAAATTATTTTGAAAATACATATTCTTATAAATAGGGGAATAGTGCCTCTTTCTCCACATCATAGCTAACAACAGGCATACATATTTGCCAACGTGGTAAGCAAAGGCCTCTTAAAGTTTTACTTATATCCCTCTTTCTTTTTTCTTTTCTTTCTTTCTTTTTTTTGCTGTTGCATCTTTTCTAGAATGCCTTCCCCTATTATAGATTCAATCCTGAATATATTTCATGGCTTAAGTTCTTTGTTTCCTATATTTGTTACTGATTTCTACTCTTTTCTAAATTTTCATAGTATTTTTGATTCTTACTGTAGTCTATGCAGATAAAGAACAACACATGGAAATTGTGGCTGGTAGGGATTGGGGATGTTTTATTTCCTTCCTTTCTGGTTCTCTGCAGTTTCAAATGTTCTCACAATTAAATGCTAACTCCATAGCATGAAATTTGTTAAGAAAAATATAACACGGACACAAATGTTTTGTTAGTCTAGCTTCCCCATTTACTAATATGTTCAGGTTAACGGCTACATTATACAAACACAGAAATCATAGAGCCTGCTAAAAGTGCTACCTAATCCAACGGAGCCTGGCCTATCTCTGCTGAAGGAACAGACTCCGGCACCTATTCTTTATTTGAGGTAACTCTGTCATTTGCAATGGGTGTGTGTCATACAGGATGCTGTTCCATATGCCACCAGCTTATGGGAGGGCCTGCCACAAAAAGTTCTAGCCAAAGAGACAGGGTAGGTTAGAATCTTATTCTCAAAAACTGAGCAATATAGAAGAATCAAACTCTAGGGAGGTATATGGAAATACCTCCAGAAGTATGGAATTTGAATTAAAAAAGCAAATTTGGCAAACATCTTCAAAATGTAGATAGAATAAAAGGGTCATGAGAAAGTTAAAGGGAAATAAGGTAAATGAGGAAGTCATCAAAGAGAAAAGGAAAGCAGTGAGAAATTTTAAAAGAAAAAAATGCAGATAAAGGGAGGATAGCTGGATTAAAATTATGCACTATTTGATGCAGATAGTCTCCAAAACTGCCATATGAATTTTTTTCAGGCCCAATTTGATTCTTATAATAAAAAAGCTTTCAACATGACCATTCCTAAAGATTTGGCTAAATGTAAAAAACAAAATATCTCACCCAAAGACGCTGAATATTACAGAAGTAATATCTTTCAGCCTAAACATAAAGGAATCTGTAGTCTTATTAAAATGACATGACTACTTTAATCTTTTTGTAAAGTACTTTTGTTCTTTATTTTCCATGTTATTTTTAAAGGCATAAATTAGCTCTGGCATATTAGAGAAGCACAAGTAATATCAAAAAATGTAATGCATTTGAGAGTGAAGATTCTAGCACAGTTTGATTTTTAAAGTTACACTTTGGTTTAAATCTTTTAATACAATAAATTGCACATTATACAGTAAAAAGGAGCACATATTTACATTATTATTATTATTATTATTATTATTATTATTATTACTTTTGAGACAGGGTCTCACTATATAGCCTTAGCTGGCTTGGAACTTGCTTTGCAGACCTGATTTGTCTCAAATTCACAGAGATCTTCTTGCATCTGCCTTCTGAGTGCTGGGATTAAAAGTGTGTGTCACTGTGCCCGAGATTATTTTTTTGACGTTAGCATGGAAACAGATGGATTTCGTTATAGGATTTTCATACATGTATGACGTTATAATTGGTTCTTACCCCCCCCCCACACACACACGTGCGCTGCCCTCTTCTATTCCCCTTGCCCGGCTCATGGGTCCTCTTTCTCCCATCAAATAGCCTCTACTTTTAAGGAAGCACAATTCTATAAATGATTCAAATAACTCTATACTAAATTTGGATTTATACCTAAATAAACTTCAACCCGGTGGCATTAAACATCATGGTATGAAACTCTAAAACTATCTATATTAAAAGATTGTATTGTCCAATTTTACTATCCTGTTCCTGGGCATCATTACGTTCTCAGAATCATAGGAGAGAAATGAGATTGATAAATGCAAGCTTCCCTGAACACTTGTTGAGTACAGATGGGGGACAGAGAAATTGTTAAAACCTGCAAATGTGTAGATACTTGTGCTTGAAAGCTGTTCTCCAAGCCGTGTTTGTTAGCTGAAGTATTTCAGCAAATATATTCACGTAGGGAGAAGGAAAGGTGAATAGGGAAAACAAGTAGTCTAAGTTGTGAGAGCCATCTTCAGATTCACTTGATGAGAAGGGTTAGGTACATAAGATAGTGCTGGATAAGGGAAAAGTTAGTGTCAAGGGGACCAATTTTCAGGAAGGAATTTGAGATTTTGATACATAAAATGTATTATGACAATGTGTTATGACAGAGTCAAAAAGAACTTGACAATTCCTATTTCAGCAACTCAGGCCATGACTGAAAAATCTGTTTTTTTCTTTTCTTTTCTTCAGTATTTTATGGGGGGGGGCAGTAAAAATGTGTTACGTTTTGTCCCACAAATATTGAAACTTTCAAAGTTCTCAAGATATACTCTGTACTACTCTTAATGGTTGTTCAGTTAAACAAGTACATGATAGAAAGTAAGTACTATGATCATGTAAAATAAAACACAAAGACACAGTCTAGTTTTAGGAATAATAATTTTAAGACTAAAAGGGATTAACTTTTGGGGCTGGAGAGATGGTTCAGCGCTTAAAAGCACTGGCTGTTCTTTCAGAAGACCCGGGTTTGAATCCCAGCACCCACATGGCAGCTAACAACCGTCTGTAACTCTAGTCCCAGGGGATTTGACGCCCTCTTCTGTTCTCGATGGGCATTGCAGGCAATACACGCACACATATAAAAAATAAATAAGGTATATTTATTAAAAAAGGGATTAACTTTTGGTTTATGCCAGGTTTGAAGAAAAATGCACTTCATCCATATGTAAAGCTTAAAAAGTTGAAAGCTGGGTGGGGTGGTGTATACTTGTAACCTTAGCACTCAGAAGCTGAGGCAAAAGGACCA